AGTATCACTATCAAGTCCAGATCTGTCTTATTATTAACATTTTCACTCACAAATAAAAAATGAATATATCCAATATTGGTTAATTTGGCGAATGGTTTCTATCTACTAAATGGTGATACTACTTACAAAAACAGGTATCAACTGAATGCTACGTAGTCCTCTATCACATACTCTCCCCATAAACACACTGAATCTAAATAAGAACCTTCAAACAACTCTTACCTCAAAAGAATCAGCACCAAGAAATCCAAAAAGTGCCGAATTCAAAAGGTCTGATTAAATCCTAAATCAACAGCCCCCAACACTCACACACAGAGACTGTTACCCACCCAACACCAATTCCCCCTCATTTTAGATGCTGAAAAGGCCAGACACTTGCTATCTGACTACCGTGCAGCTAAAGCATGGTGGGATGACCCAATTCTGGCCAGCAGGATCTGATGAGAAACCTAAGATACTTTTAGAAAAGGTTTTGATCTCCCTGACATAAAAAGACACAAGAAAGGAAATATCTTTCTTTACATCTGCATGTGAAACCTGAAACTGCTAGTCTCTCCTGTGATCCTAAGAGGGAGCTGTCACCAACACAGGTCCTTAATGTCATTATTGAGCAACTGAGTAACTTAACTAACCCCAGAACTGCTCCACCCCGAAGCCCCTTGTTACCTGAGATAATACACAAGACCCAGCCCCTAACCTAGATTTAATCTGCTGAGAAATTCATGCAACTTCAGATTACTTCTAACACTGGATTATTTTAAGTATCTAGGTAACTTCTATTTGCCTGTATTTTCTTTCAGAACTAATTGCAAGTTCTTTATCCTTTTAATCAAATCTTATTTATGAAATACTTTTTATTTTCCTATGTTTTAGAAGTGGTCCACCTTGCAAGATTTGGATTTATGACTCCATCCACATTCATTCTGCTCAGCTAAGGTTGAAAAGTACTTTAACAACACTAACTCTGCATAAAGCCTCTACAAAATGTACTATTAATATGGTTCATAGCTTTGATAACCTAAGAGGCTATGAAATAGAGTTTTAGAGGAAGATTAGTATATTCTAGAACTATGTCACCAATACAGCAGCCACTAGCAATATGTGCCTATTTAAATTTGATAAAAATTAACGGATTCAGTTTCTCAGTTCCATTAGTCACATTTCAAGTTTCAATAGTTACATAAAGCTAATGCCCACTGCATTAGATGGCACAGACATAGACCATATCCCATCACTGCAGCAAGTTCTATTGAATAGCACTGTTGTAGATAGAGCCTCTCTGAAGAAACTGAGAATCTAGGAAGACAGAAGGTGTAAGAACCCCTTGGCAACCTAAGTGGTAACAGTCCGAACTGCAGATCCCATGGGAATGATACTAGTTCCTCTCTTCTGCTTCTTGCCCTGAGCAGTATCTCACCACTAGACCAGAGAATTTTGTCTAGCACCTACAAAGCAGCCCACCTGATCACCTGACAGGTGTTCTTTTCTCCCATAAGACTGAGTAGTACACCTCTGACACAGTGCTTATGGCTCTCAGAGGTTTTGCAGATACCTCTATCTCAACATGATCAAAATTAATTTACCTTCGTATGCTGCCACACTCTACCTAAACCCACCGTTTCCAGAGTTCCTTATCTTAAGCAATTACACACTATTCACTGAACTATTAAGCCAGAAGCTTGGAAATCATCTAGACACCTTCCTCCTTCTTCCTTACCTCCCACATCCAATCAATCACCAGATCCTATTAATATCACTTCTTATTTTCAAATTGTCCACTTCTCTCTATCCCCACTGCCACTACCCTATTCCAAAGCCACTATGATCTCCCACCTGGACTGTCATAACAGCATCCTTGACCTGAATTCTCCCCCTTCCTCTCCAAAATACTTTCCACACCTCTTTAAGAGTTAAACCATCGTACCTTTTACTCCCCATTCACGTTACCCATAAGATAAAATCAAAACAGTGGACGCTATGTCTTGCAGATGAGTCTTGCCTATTTCTCACCACGCTCCCTTTTGTCCAGTATGTTCCAACCACAATATAAATAAGTTACCTGTTTCTTGTTCACGGGCTTACCACATGCATTTTTCTCCACTTGGAGTGCTTCTGCCCTCTTTGTCTAACTTCTACAGGTCTTCTAGGTGAACCTTCCTGACCCTCAAACTAGATTAGTCCCCCCAGGTGTAAACTCTTTAACACCCTGATTCTCCCAGTCCATAACATCCATCACCCTTTTTTACTATTATTTTGTATTCTCTGCAAGATGTATATACTGGGAGATCAATTACCTTCCCCTCTTTATCATTTCACCCTACATTATTAGAGCCTTGGCATATCATAGAAAATCGGTAAATATGTAATGAATGATGCATAATTCACTTTAGGAATGAAAAAGAAACATTTTTAAAAATTAAATGCAATTCTGAACAGCAATTAAAACCAAAGCAGTTTTACTGACCTGGTATTTTCATTATATTCAAAAATCTGAACCTTGGCCATTGTATTCGGACTACTGTCATCACTTCCTACAGCTATCATGGGAGAATGAGCCCGAGAGCTAGAAATGGAGAGTAGAAAACATTTTACATAACAATGAAATTCACACAGATTTAACTCAGTGAACTGAAAAACTGGAGTCAAGACAACGTACAAGTCGGCCTGTCCCTACTGTGACATCCAGATCTCTGCCACACATCTGACACAGCCACACTCTGCAAGCGTATGCTTGAGAATGTTACTTACTCACAAGAACTGAGCACATCATCCTTCTGGACTGCTTCTCAACCACATATTCTTATGGCTTAGATAGAAAGGACCTCTTTTCCCAAAAGAAAAGATTTTAAGCATTCAATAGATTAAAAAAGATACCTGAGCGGTCTCGGCAATTTTTCCTCCTGAAAAATTTAGTGATTAACTATGAAATGAAAAGTAACCCTATTGTGACCAACTTCATGACAGAAAGGTTTTAAGTGCTTTGTACAAAAAAAAAAAAAAAAACAGAAAAAGGAAAGTAGGAAAGACCACAAGACGCCTGCATGTTATTCTCTCTGGACTCCTTTGTGGTCAATCTCACTTTGAAAAACGCAAAAGATAAGCAATAAAAGGATGGCTTTACTGAAGTGAACTGTAAGGTAAACGACTTTTTTCCTTTCTATACCTAATCACCTAAATATCGTATTCCTTTGCCTCCCTCTTCCAGATTAAGTAGTATCTCTGTGAACCTGGCACCCTTGCTTAGGCTTTGACCTCAATGTTGTGATCTACTGACTTCT